GCTAAATGGTAAATATTCATTTTAAAAAAATGAATCGGTTCAGGAGTACAATCAAGATTGTAACCCTATATAATGTAATCTATGACAAAAAAGTTTAAAAAACATAGAAACATATGCATACATGGTTTTCAGTCCGTCGACTCGACACCAAAATGAAAGTTAATGGAGTCAGACGAAGTGATGACGATGCGCTTGTTCAAACCAAATCTGAAACTCGAGAAGAAGATGCGTAGGCAGACCACACGAACTTGAAATACCAAATGTCACAACAATAGAAGCTTTTCCGCGGAGGCCTGAGAAAGCGTCGTCAACGGGAATGTCCTCCAATCGCTCGATCACATATTCCTAGCGTCATGTGAGAGTTGATTATCACCAAAACACCATGAGCTAACACCTCGAAGAAACCTCCCTAACCAATATCAGCGAAAGACGCAAGCTCCCCCTACCCAGCTCCGAGGCAGTACAGAGCTAAATCATAATTTTAAAAGCAACGAAAAACACCCATTGGCTTTACTAGCTCCTCTGTTGCACATAGTCAAAACAATCAAACCCGCATACTAAGCTACACAACAACCTCTACACAGCAGCGTAATAGAAGACACAAGCAAACATCTTGGCATTAAACCAACCCTCACGACTAGATATACAACATCGTAGAACAAAGCAACGTTACCCAAGCCACCACCGGAAGCAGGAATATAACCAAATCTACAACACAGCAAGGGCATGCAAAACCACTAGAGACCACCTAAGACAAAACACCCACCAACCAACAACCATTTACCAGAGCAAATTGCGCTGGCCCTGAGCACAAAGTCACGAAGCGAACACCAGACGAGATAACTAACAAACATTGCTAAGCAACAAGTCAATTCGGGCGAGCCTAGAGACCGAGGCTCCAGTTGTCTCCACAACCAGAAATCTCTAGCGACTTGACCCCTAAAGACAACACGCACCTTTCAAGTGGAGACACCCAGTAGCACGAGCCAACCCGCAACATCAAAATCCCTGTCCTCGAGCCAGAGACCTCGACGAAGTAGAAGGGCCAACCACCGGAGGAAAGATGAGGCACGACATAGTTTCCAATCGAAAGAGTGGAAGGGGGCGAAGACCAAAGATGATGGAGAAGCGAGTTGCGCCTATCGGACATCGTTCTTCAAACCGGAATTGGCTTCAACAGCCCTTGAAGGACGGACCAGAACATATTTGGACAAAGACGAACGGATCTTCCCCGGACGAGCTACAAGTGATGGGAGTAAGCTCGACCCCCGCTAACACTCATCGTCGACGAACAAGATGTTCACGGCGGAGAAATCCCGTACACCTTGACGTGGTCGTCACACATGGAGCCGCTCCCACCTACACATCGTAGAAGCAAGAAGGCAAATCTAGAGGTTAAAGAAGGCACAATCGTAGGGTGAACTGAACAGAAGGGGAGGTTAGGGGAGAGGAGGTTGCCCTCTCACGGCACCGGCAAGAATCGGAGAGGCTAGCAGAGGGCAACCTCCTCTCTCAAACAATCACTAAATTATGATAAAGAAAAAAACAACTAAATTTGTTTCGTAAAAGTTTCGTTATCCCTTATGTCTTAAAAGTTAGTTACACCACACTAATTAAAAAGCGATTTTGTGAAGCTCATTCTGTCGTGGAATGAACAACAATATGTTAATATTGAAATAGTAGTGTTTTGTTTATGAAGTATATAATGCATCAATTAAAAAAAACAAAATATAATGCAAAAAAGCATCATGACCGATTTTTATGACCGAAAAGTTGTTTGATATTGGATTCAAACTATAATTTTAGTCTAAAAGTTTTTGAGTAGTGCTAGATTCACATTTAAGATTTGAGTGATTACTATTTCTATATATAAGATTGGCATACACAAATATATTTGAGTAGTGCTAGATTCACATTTAAGATTCGAGTGATTACTATTTCTAT